GGGTAGGAACGGGGGCGGTGAGGGTGGGTGTCTAACAGTGAGAGTGCTGCCAGGCGCTGACCTCCAGCAGCTCCTTCAGCCCCGCTGCTGCTCCTGTGGCAGAGGCTGACCACAGCTGCTCCAGCACCAAGGGGGCTGAGCCACCCCCATTTGCTGCTTCAGCCCTGAGGCTGCTGGTCTGATGGCCCAGGGCTGACAGCTGCTCCAGCCCTGCACTGGAAGAAGTCACGGAATCTGTGATCTCTGTGACAGAATCGTATCCTTACCAATGACCTAGAGGTGTAAAGCTCCATACCCCAATTCCCATAAAGAAACCAATTCCCCACTGCATGGCTGCCTCGAGTGCAGGGGACTGGACTAGATGACCTATTGAGTTCCCTTCCAGTCATACACTTCTGTGATTCTATGGCTGTATTGCAAGTGGTGCCCAAGATGTGGAAGACTCCAATCCCATTGAGGTACCCACTCTCCCAGCACAGGGCTAGATTGGAATCAATGACCGAGCCGTGAATGTCTCCATATCCCATTCAAATTCCTCTGCGCCTCCCGCCTTGTTCTTTAAAACAACCCAGAGGCATTGCTTTTCAAAGCTTAGACGTCCCTGAACTCTCACACCTTCCCTCTAGATGATGCCCCATTTTCAGGTCACAGCGAAGTGAAGGTGGAAATCTATGGACTTTGAGTGTTCTCCAAAATTTTGTTTAAGGATATTTTGGAAGATCTTATCGGGAAGGTTTACATTTCTTATCAGGGTTATTAATGCGATAAGGAAAGCTCTGGGCTGTGTGTTTATAAGAAGCAGCACCCAGGCATTTCTCTACATTCACCACTCATCACCACTGGCTTGTGTGTCAGAAAACATCATGAAGTGGCTTCTGCTCCTGAGTTTGGTGGCGATCTCTCAGTGCAGGGTGACAAAGTGAGTATTGGGGGAACACACCACTTTGGGCTGCTGAACTTGGCTTTCTACATAACAATGTGTGATTATCAAGGGGAGTGTCTGCACTGCTCTCATTCTTTTCTCTACTCTCCATTCATGTATAGGCAGCAGCTGGGAACAACCTCTTAGCTTTGTGTTGTAGCAGAGGAATGAGGAAGGAAGGTCTTGTGGTTAAGGCACTGGAGTGGCACTTGAGAGATCTGGGTTAATGCCTGGCTCTACCACAGACTCCCTCTGTGACCATGGGCAAGTGACAGAGTCTCTCTGTGGGGATCAGTTCTCTGTGATAATATTAGTGTTTATTATTTGTATTATCACAGCATCTACGACCCATAAGTCATGGACCAGAACTCCATTGCGCTAGACACTGGAAGACTGTCCCTTCCCTAAGTAGATAACTACCTCAGTAAGACATAAGAGACAACAGAGACATGCAGACAGACTGAGAGGGGAGTACAATGAGTCAGTTTGATGGACAGTGGTCTCTGCACACCAGCAGCCAAACTGTTGTTATGTTTTTTTTATAGGCACGACGTCAAAGGAGAGTTTCTAAGGAGGGATTTGAAGGAGGACAGTGAGGTAGCTTTGCAGATGTTTATGGGGAGGACCTCCCAACCATAGGGGGCAGGTGGGAGAAAACACGAAGGTGTGTGATTGAAAATGTACCAAGTTGGCAGTAGAGGCTGGCATCATGGGCCAATGGAAGGTGGGCATCGATAGCTTGATAGCCAATGAGGGATGAGAGGTAGGGTGGGACTGAACGCGAAGAGCCTTGGAAGTGAAGACAAGCAGCTTATGTCTGATATCATAGAGCAGGGGGAGCCAGTGGATGGACCCAAAGAGAGTAGTGTCATGTTCAAAGTGACTTGCTAGGAAGATTATCTTTGCAGCAATGTTCTGAATGGACATGAATGGGGCAAAATGGCATTTGTCAAGGCCAGGGAGAAGAAAGTTGCAGCAATTGAAACATGAAAGGAGAAGAGCTGGGACGAGAGCTATAGCTGCGTGAAGGGCTAGGAAAGGCTGCATCTCAGAGAGTTTTTGCAAGAAGATTTGGCAAGATTTAGACATAGACTGGATGTGAGGAGCTAGAGAAAAGTTTCAAGTATTAGGGGGTAGCCGTGTTAGTCTGTATCTACAAAAACAACAAGGAGTCTGGTGGCACCTTAAAGACTAACAGATTTTGGGCATAAGCTTTTGTGGGTAAAACCCTCACTTCTTCAGATGCAACTGAAGAAGTGAGGTTTTTACCCATGAAAGCTTATGCCCAAATAAATCTGTTAGTCTTTAAGGTGCCACCAGACTCCTTGTTGTTTTTGTAGATACAGACTAACACGGCTACCCCCTAATACTTGAAACTTTTCTCTAGCTCCTCACATCCAGTCTATGTCTAAATCTTTCCAAATCTTCTTTCCAAAACTCTCTGAGATGCAGCCTTTCCTAGCCCTTCACGCAGCTATAGCTCTTGTCCCAGCTCTCCTCCTTTCATGTTTCAATTGCTGCAACATTCTTCTCCCTGGCCTTGACAAATGCCATTTTGCCCCATTCATGTCCATTCAGAACATTGCTGCAAAGATAATCTTCCTAGCAAGTCACTTTGAACATGACACTCCTCGCTTTGGGTCCATCCGGTGGCTCCCCCTGCTCTATGATATCAGACATAAGCTGCTTGTCTTCACTTCCAAGGCTCTTCGC